ATCTGGCAACTATTGGCTGACTTACTGACCCTCTGAAAATAAAGGAAAGGCTGCCTTCCATTAATTTGTTCTAGTCTTAATTTTCTAAGTCCATTTTCTAAAATAAGAACATCCTTGTTTTTGTTTGTAGTTGTACAGATAGTCCCTGACTTACAGTCCATTTAGTGACCGTTCAAAGTTACAACAATAGTGAAAAAAGTGACATGACCATGTTTCACACTTATGACCATTGCAGCATTCCCACGGTCACATAATCAAAATTTAGATGCTTGGTAATTGACTCATATTTATGACGGTTGTAATGTCCCAGGGACATGTGATCACTTTTTGCAACCTTCTGAGAAGCAAAGTCAATGAGGAAACCAGATTCATTTTAACAGCTGTGTTATTATCATAACCAGTAGAGTGATTAATTTAACAACTGTGGCAAAAAAGGTTATAAAATAAGGTAAAGCTCACTCAACAAATGTCTCACTTAGCAATAGAAATTTTGGGTTCAATTGTGGTCGTAAATCGATAACTACCTCTAGTTATTTTTGTTGTCTTTCTCATTTTCTAGCTCCTACATATTTATTTTGAACAAGTAGGGAAAATGTATGTGGGGATATTTTTTTACTTATATTCTGTTCTTTTTTTATATAATGTATCCCAATCTGCAACTAAATTTTTAAGCACTTGGTTCTCGGAAATGATGAAATATGCAAAAGTGGATACTTTTCCTGTGCGTATTTAACTGAATCTCCTTTGTAATATGTTCCAGCCTATTAGAACAGCAGCAGTTTAAGAGCTTCCTTGAATTCTTGATCATTTAGAAAGTGCCCTTAATATTTATACTCGGTTCTTAAATAGTTCTTTTTTATATGGTGGAGGTTTAAATACTCTTGTGTTTAACTGAATGGCAGTTGATTGTTGATTTTGCTCATTCGTCAGCACAGGCTAAAACCTCCAGGAGAGTTTATATTCAAAACATTATCAAATCATGCACCAATTTTCTTTCACATTCCACAAGCATTGATTCAGTTGCATGCAGAAAATATAATAAGTGAACCCCTGGGTCACAGCCATTCTCATTGCTGCCTGGAATCTTCTCTACTTTAGAAGGACTAAATGCATTTATAATCCCCCAGTTCATATGTTTTTACATAAGATTGTATTCCTGGAGACAGTCGGGACTGTTCACTTACAGGTGAGAAGGGAGGAATTCGTGAAGATTTTAATTGTGGTATTGGATTTTAATGGTGTAAGGTCCTGTGGTGATTTGCATCTTTTAAAACTGCCTTTTTGCATTGCTTCTAGTTTATTAATCTTGCAAGAACTCTTCAGGCACACATGGATGATATGGAAAGTAGGTGATTTTACTTCTAAGTTAAAAAAGGGATAAAGTACAGCCTGTTCTTTTATGTAATATTAAGTACCAAAATATCTGAGTTGATCTGCAGTTTTCAGATACAATTAGAATAAATTGTAAGGGCACTTGAAGAACTCAAATCTGGTTCCTAAGGAAATGCAATCCAATTACTTGTTTCAAAGTTCCCTGCACTTTATTCTCTGAGAAAGTTTGAAGGGTAAAACTCACCATGATATGCATACAAACATTTATCATTAAAAGAAACAAAGTGATCCACTGAAATTACTAGTTAGTCTTGATCAGTTTTTATATACTTGTTGACTCAAACATGTGAACATAGACTTGCTTTCAGGTAGGCATTTTGTTCAGCTAAAAATCTCTGAAGTATAGTCTCTCTCTAATAGGAATCTAATTATCTTTTGTGGAATGAATATTTTTAATAAAACATCTTATGGGGTGATGTCTGTTTGAGGTAGTCCCATTTAAGACATGGTTGCTGATATAGCAGTTATAATGAATCCTTGTTACTGCCAACCCATTTTTCTCCTGCCTCTTTAGATTATGTGTACATTTGATGTCTCTTTCCTATGCATCTTACACCTAAAGGCCTCACATACATATTCTACTGTTCATTACTTAGGTAGCTCTTGTTAGGATGATGATAAAAGAAACTAAAATAATCTTTTGTGAATGAACACTGTTTATTTGTGTCCATAAAAATTTTCCTTGGTGATATATCATTTTTTTGTTCCCTGTTCATACATATATAGGTATTTAATAGAAAACTCATTTATTTCTTTGGTATTATTTACTCCATTTATAAATTTAGGCTTCCTTTTAAGGACATTTTGGGATTTTGGCCATTCATTTACACTAGCTACATCTGGATTTTTGCTTTAAAAGGGCATTTACTCCTTAGCACATTTATTCCATAATAATCTTAACCATGTAATTTAATCATACTCTTTCTGGAAAAAGAAACCTGTTGTTAGTCCTTTTGGTATTGAAGGTGCCTGCTAAAGTTATTTATATTTTGCTATTAATATATCTGTACTTGCTTATTAAAACCAAGGCAAAATCATACACGATATGAAACACTTTATTGCCTTGATAAAAAACTGGTCTTTTATCATTCTTAATCTAAGCAGCTGTTAAAACAAAAAACAAACCATTCCTATAGGTTCCTAATATATATTAAATTGAAATGATGGGCAGAACAGTATTGTGACAGTTGACAAGTAAGTGTCTCCATTTTTATAGAGGTATAGTTGTTAGAAGGTGTACAAGAATTTCAATAGTGGGCTCCCATTGAGAATTATTAAAATGATACCCACAGGTAATTGCTTTACATATTTTTACTTATTTTCTTTATCCTTTTCCTTCCTCAAATTGCTTGTTAAAGAAACAAATTTTGATTTCCTTTTACATTAATGTGCTTACTAAAAGCAGTATACTTTAGCATAAGTATACATAGGTGCATTTTGATTTTTAGTTTCAGAGATGTTAAGTTAAAGTTGTACATAGGTATTAGTTTAGGGAAGCACTCCATTATGAAGCACTGAGTTCATAGATACATAAATGTGTTATAAATGAGATGCTGTGTCACATTAAAATAATGTCCTTGATTTTAAACTTCTAGAAAAGTTTCTGATTATATTCTGTACTTCCAGCAGCTTCAGATGATGATGATGATGATGATTCTGAAGATGGTGATCTCGATAGGACCTTTGATGCTGCATAGATGGTGTGGAAGGGCTAAATGCTCAGCTGACACAAGTATCACCAGTTCACATTTATTTAGTAAACCAAGCTGAATTTATTAGATTTCTGAAGAACTGCTGAGTCAAACAGAAAATCTGCTATCCATAGATAATGGATATTGTTCATTCAGTCTGCAAGAGTATCTTTCTTCTTTCAGAGTATGACGATGTATGCCTTCTTCTCAAGGGTGTGATTTTTATCTGTAAGGAAGAGTTCTTTTTGTATAAACTTCTTACAGAAATTGGTTATAAATTCTGGGAAATGTTTCTCATGTTTTGCTCTTCTGCCGGCACTAAGTGGAACTGTTAAATGAGTTTGCAAGTTCGAGTCACTGGGAAGGGAGGGGATAATTCTTTGTTAACTTACCACTTAAAAATATATATATATTGGGAAATCTCACCATTTTGGTTCCAGTGTTAACACCTAGGTTGAATGAGGGAGTGAATGGGTTCTGTAATTAGTTTTAAGTTTCTCTGGAGGAGTGTTTAACTCAAAGCAATAAACTTGCAAGGGGCTACTAATAAGTGTTAATTAAGGCTTTTATAAGTATTGATTTCAAAACTGCAGATTATATTTGATAATATTATGTACAAGTTCCAATAAGGAATTACAGCAGTAAACACAAGCATTTCAGCATTCCCGGAAGGAATAAAACTTATGGTTTAAAATCTTAACCAAGCTATTTATCTGAATGAACATTTTTTTAGAACCCACATTCACTAAGGCACTGGTTATCAATGTGTTTTCTAGTGTTGTCACTTGTTTGTTAAATAAAGATTGCAATCCTATGGTTCGTCTACCTCTTTAAAATAAGGTACCTTTTAGAGCCTAAGTCATACCCTCATAGGAATTTTGTCTGGTTTAAAATGTCAGTGCTGATTGAATCTGTTGGAGTGAAACAATAAACGGGGTTAGGTTTTCTGTGTTGCTCATAAGACTAATGTTTTCTTTTAGGGGACCTCTAGTCCCGGTGATTTTAGGGCTGCATCCATACAAGTTGCCTGGCAACCATTCAGAAATGACTTGCCATATTTTCCAGGAATGCATGATCTGAAAACGATCCCTTTAGAGAGAGCATCCTTTTCCCGTTACATGAATACAGGTAGTCCTTGGCTTACAACAGTTCGTTTAATGACCTTTCAAAGTTACAGTGGCACTGAAAAACAAGGCTTATGATCGTTTTTCACACTTATGACCTTTGTTGCATCCCCATGATCATGTGATCAAATTCAGTTGCTTGGTGATTCATATTTATGACGGTTGTTGTGTCCTGGGGTCACATGATGACCCTTAGCCCAATGGATCATTTCAGTACAATTTTCATAGGAAAACAGTGGGTTGTTTTTTTTTACTTCAAGAAAGGAGATTAATGACTTGGCAAACAATACCAACTTTTCCAAATCCATATAGGTATTTTTTACATATTCATTGCTTTAAAATTGCAGTGTTTGTGTATCTTCTACTGTTAGCTGCTGTTTTTTGAAGTACTGGAATAGAGATACGAAGACCAACCTTAAAGAGAAGTTAAAGGGGGGGGGGGGGGGGGGGGGGGGGGTAATCTGGAAATTGCTACCTATGAAGGCTAGTGCCTCGTTTTGGAAAAAAAAATGTAGGTGATTAGAGCCAAAAAAATTAGTTACAATGTTCTGAGCTACATTGTTCTACATTCTCTTCCATTCTGTTTATGAAAAAAATTGACTAAAATTAATTTAGGAGAGATTAGGGGGGTCATTAGACCTGTTTAACAAATATGATCTTTTCTCTGGCACCGAGAGGCATTTAATTATTTAAATTATAAAGGTCAGCTAGCACAGTAAAGATGTGATACACATATTCAACCATCCAAATGATTATTTTGATGTCATGCTTATTCATATAGAAATATATGTATTTATACTTTAACCTAATTGTGACCAATGCTAGATAGATTTCCGCCTGCAATATAACATGAGGCAAGCATTGAATAATGTTTAAGCAGTATCTTATTCAGCCTCTTGTATGATAAGCAGTAATTCCCAAACACTACACTCTCAGTAATTGATAGCCTAATTGTAAATACTGACTTGCTTTATGTATGCAATTCTAGAAAGGCCCATTTTAGTTACCGCTTTTATTTGAGCTCAAAAAAGTGCAAATATTAATACTCAAAATTTTATTTCAAAGAACAGAATATTAAAATAGACATATATAAAAAAATTGGGATTGTGTTGAAGGTCCTTGCCATCGTTCCATATTTTGTTAATATTAAAAAATGTTGGCATTCACTATAAGCACACTTCATGGTAAAGATACAATCTACAGGTTTAAATAAATTGTCCATTGTTCATGATTGCAGTTGCTCCACATTTCTTAAAGATAATATTTTATAGTCTTGTATTTTCAAATTTTGGGAATTTTTTAAAAAAAGGTTTGGTACTTTTAGTCCACAATTGGAATTCTGAATTTCATAAACAAATGAGTGCTGTGAGATTTGTTGGCAAATGTCAACAAAAATAAATTTAGCACAGTGTCGTTGAAAGGCAGGAGTTCCCTCCTTCCAAAGGATCTTTGGACGTTTTGGATAAGAATGATTTCTAAACTATGGATATTATTAAAAGGATATCAAGCATGTTGAAAAATGCACATTTAGATAGAAAATCACTTCATATACATAAAATAACAACTAAGCATCATTTGGTTTATATTTCATTATAATACTGGTTTTAAAGATTGCTTTTGTGCCAGTGCCCCTTTCTGTAACAGTATCTAAATGAAAACAGGTTAAGCAGAATATTCAACTTCATCTATAAAAAACGTTTCATTGTCATGCGGAATTTGAGTGATGGAATTATGTGCGCTATATCTTGGTCTAGAAGATATCCTCCTTTGATAAAGAAACCAGAGAAATGCTGCAGAGATTGCCACAGTTATTGTTGATATTACAACTAAGATGCTTGTCCAAGCAGTTTCTGAAACGACACAGAGATTACAAGAAAAGTACATAATTAATCAGACACGTTTTCTGCAATTGCAGATACTTTTCAGCTGTTTAACATTCTGATATTACTGGACCATTTCCCTGTTTGGCTTATGTGCAGCTTTTTATTTATCCAGTGAATCTTTTAAGATCTTTTAATTATACCTGGATTACTGAGAATCTCCATAGACTGTTACTAGCACTTAGACTTATATGTCGCTTCACAGTGCTTTACAGCCCTCTAAACGGTTTACAGAGTCAGCATATTGCCCCAACAATTTGGGTTCTCATTTTACCGACCTCGGAAGGATGAGTCAACGTTGAGCCCGTCAGGATCAAACTGCTGGCAGTGGGCAGAATTAGTCTGAAATACTGTATTCTAACCACTGCGCCACCACGGCTCTTGGATATAGCAGATACAGATCAATGGACCACAATCCTAGTTCTCTAGGATGAGGGGAATTACCTGAGATCATAAACAAATCTAGAAATGTTTTCTTTATACTTTGATGTTACCATGTCGCTTATTAATTCCTATATAGGTAGTCTTCGACTTAAAAAAAAAAAAAGTTTCCCTAAAGGTTTCCCTGTCCCATCGTGTCTGACTAGGGGGCAGTGCTCATCTCTGTATCTTAGCCAAGGGAATCCACATTGTCCAAATATTACAACCATTCCATTTAGTGACCATTTGAGTTACAACGGCATTGAAAAAAGTGACCTATGATCAGTTTTCACGCTTGGAACTGTTGCAGCATCCCCACAGTCATGTGATCAAAAGTTTGGGTGCTTGGCAACTGGCATGTATTTAAGACAGTTGCACTATCCCAGGGTCATGTGAGCACCATTTGTACCTTTCCTAAGCAGCTTCTGACAAGCAAAGTCAATAAGGGAAGCCAGATTTGCTTAATGACTGCATGATTCACTTAACAACTGTAGTGATTCACTTAACAACTGTGACAAAAAAGGCCATAATATGGAGCAAAACTCAACTGTTGCTTAGCAATGAAAATTTTGCATTCAGTTGTAAGTTAAGAACTACCTATATTACTTGGTCCTATGTATGTGGTAAGTAACTTCTGCTGCTGAAGCATGTTTCATCAAGCTGTCTCAGATGCACACAAAACTATCTTCCTTATGCTCACATTTGCCATTTTGGAATGCACCGAGTACAATTTTATCCTTTTCTCCCTTTTATTAGTCTAATAAAAATTTCAATAAGCTTGAAAAATGGTTGAGTTACTGCCTTTACGCAGCTCTGATTTTCCATATCCTCCTGACCAATAGAGCTTCCAGTGGGCCTGTCCCTATGATATAAACAAATTCTCCAATATGTACCAGGCAAATGGCAACAAAAATGTGGGGAATCAGTGACATTTAACAGCAAATGGATATCTTTAATACAGCTTATTGCATATACAAATAGAGGACATAATGATAATTCCTTGCTTAGAAAAGGTCTATTAAAATCAGTGGAATGGATTAAATTAGTCCTGGCTAAATTACATTGATGGACCTGCTGTTAATTATATCCACACATGGAACCAATCCATGACAACTCAGTGTTATTTCCTGAAAAAGAAAACTGCTCTGAAATAAAAAGACATTATCTTAGCACTGTTTCATTACTAGACAATATACAAAAAAAGTGGATTACTCACCAAAGAAGCGTGTCTTTTCATAAAGAACTTTAGCAATATGGAGAGAGAAAATGAGAACATATTACTTTTTTAAATCTACATTTTACCCTCTCATAGAGGAGTAGTGAAAATAATTACTATCCAATAGTTGGCAATAAGCCACTTAGTGACCAAATAACAGTGATCAATATAAAAATCGAAAAACCTGTTCATTCAAAAGTGTGTATATGAATCTATTTGAGGAAGTAATTTCTGTGCGTGGATCTCCTGGGGAATGGAAATTGTGGCTGTAAATTAGATGGTTATTCAAATGCAGGTACAATACTGTTCATCCACATGGGTCTACTGACTGCAGTTTGATTCTGGAACTAGCATAGTAAACCCAATACTATACCATATGACTGGAGTGTGAATAGGAAATGAATGAAATGTGGTTTGCATAATTTCTAAAAGGACAGATAACATCTTGCTTTCATTGTAATGAATTATATATTGATCATAGATTGAACACCATAATAATCAAGAGTATCCTCTAAAAAAATTCCCCAAGCAAGAATCCTTCCCCAGTCATTTTCTGCCCACAGAAAGGAAAACAGCATTGCGCTGACAAGTGAGATATGACCTGGGGGTATATCACCACCGATAAGAATTTTGATAACAGGGAAGGTACAGTTTGTTTTCATTACGGGGCAATTATTGACCCAGTTAAAACTTTGGAAAACCTAGAATGTGAATAATTAGTCTTGGAAGTCTATTCGGTTTCAGAATAATTAGTCTTGAAGTCTATTCGGTTTCAGTGCTGGAATTGGGAGACAACCAAACCAATGTCTTATTAATCTTTGGCAGCTGCTTTCTTAAAAACAATGCTTATCCTAATATGCTTGCTGTAGGAATAATCAAAAGAATTTGTTTCCTGAATCTGGTAATGGGGGAAGACCTTTAGCAATAACCTACCAGAATTGTGACTTAAGCTCCTTAATAAGGAAGTATGTTGGTAATTTTTTTTGCATCTACCTTGTGTGTTCTGCCATGTGAAAAGCCCAAATAGCAAGATAAGAGTGTTATTTCCAGTTTGTCTTGAAGAATTCATTTGCATCATCTAATGTATCACAATTATACTGCATATATGACCAGTACTGTGATAAAACGACACTGGGATTAAGTTTAATGACTGTGATGACTGGTAATTGATGAAGGGCTCCAGAGTGTTTGGAAGAGGAAGTAAACAACATCAGGAGTTATCTACTTGAAAACCCTTCCACAGCCTGTGAAATTCCTCACCTATAATAGAAAACATCAATACTGTAGCATTTTTAAAGCAATGTTGTAGCATGGCTCTTACATACCAGTAGCTTCACACAGGATATTAGTCAGTGGAAGATGTTCACAAGACACTTTTTTCCATCCACCTGAAGCTGTATGCATAGTAGCACAAGTGTTTAGAAGTTCATTGTTACTTTCTTCCTCTATCCAGTTTGTAAAATTTACTTTGGAATCATCGTACCATTTGAAAATATCATCTGCAATACAATAGATGTAAATTTATTTTTGTCTGCTTCATAAACATGAGCCAAAGTAAAAGCCTACATTGACTTGGTCATTTGTTAATAAGTGGTTTTAATTTTACTTTAAAAAATTCGATTTAGTTTAAATTGCAGCTTAAAGAGAAACGGCAGAAAGCTTTAGGGAGGTTTTTTTTTTTTTGCCCATTATCTTAAATACATGAGCCCTGGTACAATGATAGCCAGGGACAGACCTTTATGAATAGCAATTGTATCCTTGATCAATATCAGATAACACTTAACATTCCCTCCCGGTAAAAGTCACCCTATTTCACTTTTCTTGTGTCTGTCCCATTGAAGAGGCCTCAGCCACTGTGTTCCTTCTGCACTCCTGGTGGTGGTTGTTCTAGGCTTTGCATTCACAATTCTCTCTGAATTCCATAGGGCCCATTTTCCAAATCCAGAACAAGAGAGTTCTTTTAGAAATTACGTCTAGAAAACTTTATCTTAAGGAAGGAAGGATAGTTCTTAATGCAAATATAGTTCAAAAATCGAGAAAAGGTGGAGCCTGTTTCTAACAGGATTTGTTCACTTACCATCTGTGTCAAAAAACATGCCAAGAGATATGTATTCTGGACCATGCCAATTTGAATGAAAATTATTTTGAATAAAGGTATTTTCATCTTTGCTATTTATTGTAATAATATCTGCTCCGGAAGCTACGTTTGAGAAATAAAGACAAAAAATTAAGGCTGAGTGTCAGTTCCTACGAATGGGAGTAAATGCTGCAGTTCATTTGGTATATTGTTAGCCTTGGTCATCCTAGCCATAGGGAAAGATGCATATAAACTGTGTAGGCAGCTTCAGTTCTTTTATTATACAGTTACTGACCTGTTTTTGGCTTCCAAAAACATCTAAACACACACTGCAGTACTTAAAGATGCATGTGCATGCTGGTGCTGCATGACAGACAATGCCAAAAGAGTTTCCTAAAATAAACAGTCTGGAAAATTCTGGGGTAGAAATCAATGAAATAGCAGCTCTCTGTCTCCAGCATTAGAAATGTTTGATGGTATACAAGCATGCTAGATCAATGCACTTGGGAAAGTCTGCATTCCCCAGCAATAAAATGAAATTGAATGAGATCAACCATAGAAACCCAAGAGCTTTCCCAGCTGTACATCTGCAGGTCTGTATCCTGAGCAAATAATGTAACATGATCTGTTAACTACTCTGAGTAGTAACATTCTTCATAATTGCAAACAGGCATTCAGATATTGAAAGGGTCCTCCCAGTTCCTGCTCCTAGTAGCCTCAGCTGATTGGTCTCAGTGCATCACATAAGGTTGGGATGAGATTGGACAGAGCAGAGCTGTCTTACCATTGCCTCGGCACAGCTCCCTGGCATCATCCATACCGTAGACCTCTGAGGATCCCTGAAGTAGAGCATAGCAGCTCTTTTGGAATGGAATCCAAGCAATGGAAGGGCAGGCTACACAAGGAAGAGAACATGAATGAGACCGTCTGTTTCTGTTGTCAGTCCCAGCTTCACAACATACAAATGAAATGACATGAGTTTCTCCAAATTTTTATACAGCATTCAAGACAAGTTGGGAATAGCCTAATCAGATCTGAAATAAATGAGATTAACTGCAATATTAAAAAAGCAGGCTGCTATCATTTTGGGGGTGGGGAGGGTGAAGTAGAGTTGTGTGACTTCCAGGCACTTATTTCTTTAGTGAAACAAATAGCTGCTAGAAAAGGGAAGGGTTTGATTGCAAAAAAAGTGAATCTTTCTTTCCCAGACCTAGCAACCCTAACCCAAAGCAACCTTTACTTTTTAGCTTTAAAGAACAATCTATAACTGTTCATTCTTGAGACTTCCCTTTGGATAAAATACACAAAACTTTTAACATTCATTGCAGCTATTTTGATTGTAGGTGTGTCTGTTTGCTTTTAATTGCACCATACTTTTCACATTCATTTTGAATCTGGTTTTCAATCAACACTACTATTTTGTAATCCTATTAATCTTGGTATTGAAAACTCTTTATCTTGTTTATTATATTTAGCATTTAGATGCTTCCATCTCCAGAGTCACTTAGCAGATCTTGGCTGATCTTGAAGAATAAAGCAGGATCAAACTGGACAGGAAACCATTAAGAAATCAGGTCCCAGTTGGCCGGGAAAGTTGTAAAAGCACTACAAAAGAACCACACCATTAGACTAGACTAGACTAGACTAGACTAGAATAGACTAGACTAGACTAGAATAGAATAGAATAGAATAGAATAGAATAGAATAGAATAGAATAGAATAGAATAGAATAG